CTCTCTCTCTCTCTCTCTCATTGTCTTGGCCGCTGGCCAGTTAAAATAATAGACATAGATCGGGCTTCATTACTTGGCACTGAACTATGGAGAGAGTTTGGCTTGTGTACATAACTAGTTACATCTCATGGAAAATTCATCTTTCATCTAGTGGGCAAAAATATAAGCGATCGTGGGGGCTCAACAGAGATCTTTTATAATCTTTTTAGAAAAAAACACGACCAGATCCTATACTACAAAATTATTTAGGCTAATAGTAACCCCAAAAATAGGGAACTAGAAAAGTCATTAGTATGCCACCTCTGTTTGACCACATGCTCTTTTGATGTTACACAAGGTAGCTTTTATATATCTGGTTGTTGTCACCACCAAAGAAAGAGATTATCATAAATTGCTGTCACTGGATGGCGTGTGTCCATCTACATCGAGAATGTGTTGCAGTTTTTTTTGTGAAGTATGCAGTTCCTAAATATTCTGCTTACAGGCAACAGACTGATTTACAGAGAATGTTCCCTTTTCTATCAGTAATTAATAACATCAATTTGCTGACACCACCTGCTGTGGAAAAGCCGAGTGCATAACAGTCCCTGTGTGTACCCATTATTATTATACCTTCATCTACCCCCTGCTGAGAGCTCGGCTCTCCTGTGGCTCTTCCATCTCTATGGTATCAGTCGCCTGCTGTTGTGGGTGACAGTCAGTGTTAGCACTTCCAGAGATATATATATCTGTGAAATGTTTTACCGTCTGGTCAAGCCACAGACACAATCACCAGAGGAGGGATGAAATAGTGCTTTCCATCTTCGGTTGACATGTTAGTGAGGTAAAATGATTTTGGTGAAGTAAGGGTTAGTGTGAAGGTTGTTAACACCATTTTTGATGTGTTGAAGCTGGCTTGTAACACACTAAATCTTGTATAGTCAAGTGTGTTATTCTGAGGCCGGTATCATCAGTATGCCCGCATCATTATTTGCATTTGCATTGGAAAACAGTTCTTTTCTTTTCACCTGTTTCACCTGAAATATTTCCTTATACTTAGTCTATACTTGTTGATGTAAAATGGGGAGACAAAATGTGTTATACCCTCTCCTATAACAGAATACAACTCAGGTAAACCACAACATATACTGTAGATATAGTTGAATCCACATCTCCTAAATAACAACAACCCACCGTTACAACCTAGTAAACATATAAATACTTTGAATAAAATATATTTAAATACTCAAAGAAACATTTTGACATAAAAATGTTCAGATTTTAAGAATTTAATGTAAAATATATAATTAAAAATCACATTTTATTGGAGTGAAAATGAAAGATTTCAGTCACTCATATTTCATTGATTTATTGATAGTGTATTCTGCATCAAAGCTGTGTCTTCCAGGGCCACTCTGTGAAATGAGCAGTCGAGCAAAGTCGCAATAAAGGCAAAAATACGCTGCCAGTAAAAAGGAAATTGGATAATATTGCTCGGTGATAAACTAGCGTTTAACAAGATACAACGGAATAACTAGAGTCAATTAAATTGCAGAAAATCAACAGAAATCTAGATGCCTCAATATTGCAAAATGGAATTGAAAACATTGCAAATAGACTGTTAACCACATTACAAGTCATGTTTCCTTTTTATATTACTCAATATTATTCCCTGTCGAATCAATTTTAGTTTTTGTATTGCTTTGTATGATGTTAAGACATATTATGACTATGAAAACACTAGTGCTCACAGTGTTTATCTGACACTCTAAGTGGGGCATTTATCTCTGGCAAAATGAAAGGAAATGATGAATTACTTAAGAAGGCTGGTGATTGAGCTGCATTAGATCTTTCACAGGTTCATTTTAGGTCCGAGGCCAGTGGCAGCGACACAGCTGACGGGACATTTGTGGTTTATTCGAGTACACTTCATGGGGGCAGATGATGCCTGCTGATATGGAGACATGATCCCAGATCTCATTTGTCCCATGTAGCCTACAATGTCCCATACTTGCTGCTGCACAGCAACATATAGTGTTATCGTAGAGTTCTGTAGTATGGCTAGTTTTGTTGCGTTCACATTGATGTACATGCATCACCTTCTATTATGTGCACATGTGAGACTTAGACATGCTGAAAAAAGCAACACCATCACTTGCAGAGTCAATTGCATTAGCTCAACGTGGGCGCAGAAGACAAATAATCACTAGAACCCTTCTGTAAATGTGTGTGTGTGTGTGTGTGTCTGTCATGTACTGGTCTATACTGGGCTCCTGATCCGTTATATATTCAAGGCTTTTTTAAACGACTATACTCAGCAAGAGCTCGGTACTCCAAAGCTGTTAGGTTTAATATTCAACCCAAAACATAAGAGCATTTTTGTGATGGATTCAATGTCTCTGTAAAAACAGGATGGAGTATTTTGTATGACTGGTGATGTCTTGTATGTCTCTTTGTTGCATGCTATTTGATAAAATACATGTTGCCATTTGGGAAGTCATCAGGACCCAACTCTAACAGCCACTTTAAATCTGCCCCTGGGTCGACCAGTGAGAAGCTCACACGCACAGGTTGCTCGGACATTGAGGCACTGTGGGACAGGCTCACTTATCAGAATGTCGACAGAGTGGTTGTGTTAAATATGTCTTTGATCATCAGCACAGAATGGATGTCCACATACTTAGCAGCAAAATGTGTCTTTTCACTGAGAAAACTAGTTCTGTGAAAGCCTCTTTATTCAAAGTTGATCATAAATACGATTCTCTACCATCGTCTTTCTTAGTATAGCTCAGAAATGCCTGCGTCCCGCCTGCACCTAATGAGCAAATTACCGTGGTCCTGGTCGGGTGGGTTTACGCAAGCTCCTGCTGTCCTTCCCCCATTCAGTCGTTTATTTACACCCCTAAAGACCACAAGCAGCCAAAACACCCCAACACACCATGGTCTCTTCTATGGCATACCTGAAGCAGGAGTACCATACAAAGATCTCCTATGAGTCTGCTCTTGACACAAGCACTGAACTGTTTAGGTTTGTGTAGGCGTGGGATGATAAAGTGAACGTGTGCCTAAAAATGTGTTGAGTGTTTTTAGAACAAGGTTTTAACGGGGCTGCTTGTATCTAGGATTTGCCTGAAAATGTTTCCACTTCATAGCAAAGGCCTAATGTAGTGATTATCAATAGCTTGATTAGAAACACTTCATATTGTTAATCAGATGACGCCAGGGCAATCAATGCGGTCTATTCATAAGCTATAGGACAACACTTACATTAATCAAGGAGAGAGAAAGGTTTGCTTCCAGTTGAAGAAATGTAATAGTCCACAAGAGGTCATTAACTCATTTTAATCAGCCACAAATGACCCTTAATTAGATTATTATTGTGAAGTGTGTTCATGTGTGTAAGAACAACTCCTGAACACAGCCTTGACAAATTAACTTTATGTATTGTTAGCATATTCCACAAATGCTGTTAGACCCTATAGGGAAATCAGTATTACTAATAAATACACAAAAAACATGATATAGAATCAAATCTATACTGTTAAGCAAATAAGACCCTTAATACACACACACACACACACACACACACGCGTAACATTATTGTAATTGTGAGGCCGAGAAATTACGCCAATTCAGAGGTGTCTTAAAATGTCAGCCCTCTAATGATACTGAAATCCCAGAATGTGTAGAAATCAGTGGAAAACTCCTCCAACTTCTCTCTTGAAGTACAAAGTGATTGTGTATTTTTTCACAAGGATTTCAGGTCTCACTCATTTATTTTATATCTGCCAATGTGTGTCACAGTGGGGATTGTGAGATCATGGTTCCATTAAGAAGATAATTGGGCTTAAAGAGAAAAATGCTTTGGGGTCGTTTGCTTGATTGACAAGTGCCTGTACTGTAATAGGCAGCACTGGAGGTTTCAGCTGGTTCATCCCACCCCAGCTATAAGATAATAGTGAGTTGTAAACCCCATATCCACGCACTAAAACATCCCTTGATGAGTTACGGGTGATGTCAGTGGCATAATATCCATGTTTCTTCAGCATATTAGTTACATCAGATCCAGTGTAGGGGCAGGCCTTTCCAGCTGAATCTCTTTTTTGGTCCCACCGACTTGCTGCATCCCGCACTCACCAAAAGATCTTTTAGGATTCGGTTCAGCTTTCAATGTTAAACATAATGGTTGATCATTTCTGTCTTTCATCGTCCTTAATCAGCTCTTGATGTTTCTCTGGTGAAGTTTGAAAGATAAGTAGGAGTTGAGTCCATATCCTCCCAATGGCTGAAGTCCAGAGGTTTTATCATCCCGCATTGGAGCTCACTAAAACAAAGCATGTTGTTAGACATCTAGGAAATATATTTGAACAGTACAATCCGAATAATACAACCCAATTGCCTAGTAAATGGTGTCAACAAAAGTGAGTACAGCTGTTGTGAATACAGTGGTAGAACTGAGTGATGAAATATCTGTGTTCTGCAACTTCAGAATACAGCATGAATCATGTTTTCCCTCATTCTTACCCTGAAACCTGTTATACAAGAGCTAACGAGAGGAACGCTAACGTGGAGCCTCCGTGTCCTCTCTCTCTTCTTCTGGCTCTTTCACACTGCTCTGCTACATTCATCGTGTCTCTGGAGATGTGCTGTTATGAGCAACACTTGAGGAAAGAATAAGGGTTGTGCAACAAGGTCCACCCCGGAGCAGAGATTGATAAGCAACAGACATCTTTGTAATGACATCATAATTCAAGTTAAAACAATGGAGCATACAGTTGTGGAGCTGTGCTGCTTGGTCATGAAAAGTGTCATCAATAAGTCATAGTATAGTATGCCATAAAAAGTCCTAAAATGTCATAGTATTGTATTCATTAAAGTATAATAAAAAAGGCATAGTATAGTAAGCCATATAAATGTCAAAAAAGTCACAGCTATATGACTTTTTTATGACTTTTGAAAAAGTCATAATAAAGTCATCATATGTCGAAAAAAGTCATAAGAATTCAGAGTTTAGTAAGTCAAAAAAGTCATGTAAAAAAAAAAGTGACATTAAAGTATGTTTACAAAGTCATACAAAATTCAGAGTGTAGTATGTGTCATACAATTGCATGTCGAAAAAAATGTATCATAAAGTACATTTTAAAAAGTCATGAAGAAGTCATGATATATATAATGTTGTGAAAATAACTGATTCTTAACCTGCATCGGTTCGAATCCCAGGTGTTATCTACAATGACTATGTTTCTCTAATATCCTGGTTTCAAATTAAAAAGCTCAAAGTGTTATATTTCAAAAACGTTCATAAAGAGTAATTGTTAGAAAAGTCATAAAAAAGTCATGGTATAGATTGTCATCAAAGATGAGGTTAGGAGTGCTGCGATAGCTCAACTGGTGGAGCGTCAGGCTCAACTCCTGGTTCGATTCTTAACCTGCATGGGTTCAAATCCCAGGTGTGATCCACATTGGATATTTCTGTCTAATATCCTACTTTGCAATTTAAAAGCTCGTATTATTATATTTCCTTAAAAAGTTCATAAAGAGTACTTGTTAGAAAAATCATAAAAAGTCATAGTATAGCATGTCGAAAAAAGTCATAGTAAAGTATGTTAAAAGAAAATCATGAAAAATTCATAGTTTAGTATGTCGAAGAAAATCATAGTCTATATGTCGAGAAAAGTCAAAGTGAAGTATGTTTAGAAAAGCCATAACAGTCATAAGTCACTGTGAATCTACAATGAATAAGTTTCTCTAATATCACATTTTCCAAATAAAAGCTTGTATTCGTCTTAGCTCAACTGGTAAAGCTCCAACTTTAATTCGTTACCTGCATGGTTCGAATCCCAGGTGTAATCCACAATGGATATTTCTGTCTAATATACTTTGCAATTTAAAAGCTCATAGTATATGTTATCATTATATTTCCAGCTTTGTGCCTCTCTTGCTGCTCATTAAAGGATTTCAACCTGACTCAAAATAGCAGCTTTTTTCTGTTGGACAATGACGAACAATAATCCACTGTGTCTGACGCTAACAACTAATGGGGCCAATTCCTAGGCAATGAAACAACAGCTGTGCTTGAAGGAGCATTAGCTTGCCCGTTTATTAATAGAACACTGTTGTTTTGTTGTTTCTATCACTTCCTTCCTGTCCGTCCATTGCTTTCCGTCTCTTCTTCCCTCACTTCCTGCTGATGGAGAAGTTGGAAACCTGAATCATGCCGCTCTGCTTGTTGCTGTCGGGCAGAGAAACCAGTCTATCAGTGCAACAGCTCTACTCAGCAGCACAAGGATTTTCACAAGAGTGAATATTACAATCTCACAGCGTCATCTGAGTCCAAGCGATCTGGCTTAGCTCTGTGTGTCTTAGCCTACCGACACGTACAGGCCGAAATGTTGTGCAAGTCCAAAGTAATCACTGCAGAAAACATATTGGCAGCATAACTTACAAGTTATTACTTGTATCTATCTCATGACTGACCATCTTCATAGACAGCATGAGATTTGACTGGAGCTGAATCCAAGGAGAACTGATTCAAATGAGACAAATGTGCTTATTGCATGTCGATGTAGTGAGGTAGGCTTCCTTTCTCTAAGCATATTGACAGCTATGAAGGTGAGGATAACGGTCATGCACACCAACACACCCACACAGCACCTACACTTGTGCCTGCAGGCTGCTCAGGAACTTATCAATGTGGTCCTGTGACATGTCCTCGTCCAGGTGAGCCAGGTAGGTGTAGAGTTTGACAAAGGTGTCGAACGGGATCCTCGCAGCACCGCCCTCCTCATCCTCCGTCAGGATCTCACAGGCAAAAGTAAGGGAACTCAAGAGGGTCTGAGAAAGTTTTTGCAGAAACACAAGAGAAGCAGACAATAGGCAGAAAGCTACGAAGACACACCCTCAGCATTCAAGGACGATCACCTCCCGTTTGAGCATCACAAGCACACACTGCAAAAATACACTTAACTTATATGCGTACACACACACACACTAACTCATGGACGGTTTCCAAAAAAAAAAACATGTAGAACATGGCTGCCCTCATGTGGTTAAAGTGTTCAACATTCTCATACACAGCAGCATCCTTTCCAAGACTACTGACACTGAGCACATTGTGTTGTTAGTGCTGAGCTGCAAAGTTCTCCGTGTGTGAAAGAATTCTCTTTAATCTGTCTCTGCTCCATCTGCTACTTTGAAACAAAATCATTTACTTAAAAGCATTGTGAAGATTCAAGTAGTCAGAGAATGATTTATCTGTGGAGTCTGGGGACCTTGATGGGCCTTGAAGTCTGGATCACAGATTTCTGGATCTAGTCTAAACACTAGAAGACTGGACTGTGAGATGAACCAAAAAAAAAAAAAAGACTCTTTCAGGGTCTCCAGCTGTGCTTGGCCTCACAGTAGGTTTTAATGCTCAAAGGGAGTGGTATAAAGTGGTGTTAGCATTTATATCTGGCCTTATATAACATCTTACCCCTCCCAGGGCACCGCAGCACAGCGCGAAAAACTCCATCCAGTCGATGTCTGAGTCAAAACTGCCCAGCAACAGCAGGTCTTCCAGCTGATCCACGGGTAGACACAGACCCTTCCATTTCTTCTGCAGGTCCTCCTTGCTGCATGTCTCACACGGGGACAGCTAGGATTGGGTGGAGGGAGTGGCAGGTGGTGGTGGTTAGATGAGGAGAAAATAAAGGAGGTTATCTAGTCTACCAGATGAATCACGAGTTATTATTCAGCATTATTTGTTGAAATAAACTGCATTATTGAACGGGGAATCAGACAGCCTTTGTCTGTCAGCAGGGTTGCCTTTACTGATGGTGACTTTCATGTAATTAGGACACAGCAAGGATATAAGGGCAGATGAGGAGTTCATTACTGCTGTGTTACTATAATGTCCACAGACAATACAATTTTGTATTCGTGGTAGATTTGTGGCCATAAAGTTAGCAGACGTTTCTTTTTTCAAACTGTAAATTAAACAGTTTTAATAACTCTGTTATACTAATATTGCTGCCATAAAGACAAGGCCTGACAAGGTAAAGACTAATGCTTAAGTGTTGTAGGAAATATTAACTATTAAGTTCTTTTAATGAACCCACCACACTTAAGATCCCAGTAGATGCCCCAGGTGAGGAGAAATAGGTTCACAATAACATTAAACTGTAATGATTCACATGGGGAAAACAGCATCACTATGCAGATGCACCAAAAAATAAAAGAAGTAAAAATGTAACCTCAACAGGACATTCAGCTTCAAAGCAGTAGAACAAACTGGAAAATACATTGTTTTTCTTCCAACAGCGACAATATGAAGATTATGTGATCATTTATTTAAGGTGTGGTCCTGCTGTAGAGGAGGCACCTGTTTGTGGAGAGTCTTGAGTAGACCAGGACTCAGCCCAGTGTCTGTCTTATGTGAGGCATTCGTCTCCAGCCTATCCTTCACAGGCAGACGCTGTCCTTTAGACAGCGCATTGAAGTATCTGAGAGGACACACACACACACACACACACACACACACACACACACATATATATATATTAATAAACATATGCTTAGCTTTACCCTGCTTGTCACTCATCTCCCCTGGTTCCTAACCATGCCAATCAACTAAAGTGATAAAAGCAGACTATGTCAAAAGATGCATAAATTGGCATTAGAATGAGGATTATCAGTTTTTAAAAAAATCATGCGTTTCAGTTTTATTCCTATTGTGCTAAAGGGAAAACTGGCTTATTTTACCTCACACTTTAAATAATTCTAAATAATAGTTTTGCAGTGAATTTCGAGGCAGCTTGACTTTGATTATCTCGAAGAAGAGACAGAGCCTGGTGTTGCTTTGATAGCATACAAACATCTTGTAACCAGGAGACATTTGATTTGTTTTTGTTTCACCATATGGCTCTCATTTCACTGTCTTTTGCTGTAAACACTGCCAAGCTACATTGGTGAATAAAATAACAGATGATAGGACTGTCCTTAGGGGTAGAAAAAAAACAAAAACACAGACGTTTTATATATAAACTCCATTTAGTACTTCTGTTTTTTTGTTGTTAGTTGGAGAAAGTCAGATAGTTTAACCGCTGCAGTGACATGGAAGCCCCTGGGATTCAATTACAGCCAATAAATGCAAAGATGAGAGCAGCACAGGTGAAAAGGGGGCCTGTGATGCTGCCTGGAGACACTGTTTATGGTGCTGTTTAAGATATCAAGATGGAAATAAATCACATGTATCCCTAACCCTCTACCAAACCACCACTGACACACATTAAATCTTACGCTGCAGACCACGGCAGCAGGTCCTTGGGCTGTGTGCGGATGGCTGCCTTGGTGAAGTCTTTGAGGATGTCTGGCAGCTGGGGAGGGATGTTGATTTGCTGGGCACAGAACATTGTGTCCGGAAGAGGCATGGCTGCACTATAAAACATTGCAATATAGTCCAATTAGCAGTGGCAGCTCGCTAGGTACTTAAAACTTTAGGCAGTGATAATAACCACACTATTAACATAAAAATGTAATAGTGGTTCTTCGGATATAATGGTGCCGTTTCAATAAGTTTGAGAGGAATATGGAGGTAAAGACCCATGAAAGCTTTTACAAAGAGATACAAGCTTGAAAATCTGCAGGTATGCAATTCCTCATTTTAATATACAGAACAGCGTGATGCATTCACACCTGTATGATACAAAAGGAGCCAGGAGACGACGCCGTTCATACGGCAAAATTTAATTCGGTAGCGTTAACGTTAGTTGAATGAGAAGAAGCCTTCAGCAAGAAAGTAAAAGGCCGAACATCATATCAGCGTTATGTCTCTGAATCCACCCGGAAGTTGTAGCATTTTACAGTAAGTTAAAAGTTGCTTAAACAAAGGACTCCGTGTTAGTTACCGTTAAGTTGACCGTATAACAGCTAACCGGAAGTTAACGTTAGTTCACTAAGCTCAAGAGCAGAGAAGTGGTAGAAATAAAGATTTCTACTTTCTGTTTTATTGTTATGAAAGCCCAATACAGCGCTATTATTGTAGGTCTCATTTGCTCGATTAAAATAAATACTAAGGCTATATCTACATACTTAACGGTCCTACAGTTGGCAAACGTTGGCATATAGTCAAAAGACATTTTGAATGAACTGTAAAAACTTTAACGTTACCTGGATTGTTGAATAATGAATGTGTGAAAAATGCAGACGGCTAAAATGTCTCACTTACACCGTCGTCGCATAGCAACAGTCTTCTTCTCGTGTTTTCTTTAGGGTAGCTGTAATGCCGCGTGAAGCGCAATATCGCCCCCTTGTGTTAGGGAAAATAGGACTGTTCCCTTTTAAACCCTGTTTGACATATAATGAATGACAATACTGAATTATTTTAACATTATTCTTTCAAACAATAAAAAAAAAACATTTTACCACTTAAGACAAATGGACTGCTTGAAAAAAACACTTAACACGAATAATGTGTCATGGAGAAGGAAAGCTTGGACTTATGTTGTTAGATAAAAGGATGAAATAGAGGACAATTCTCCATTAACTCAGAGAATGGGCCCACAACTGGTAAACCTGACAATCTGCATGGCTTAGTAAATTCTAATATAATATATATAAGTGGTCCTGTTTTATTCAGCACAACTATCAACACTTGTCTGCCATTTTACACAGGCACTACACTTTGCCAAGGAAGGTGTAAGGGATACAGGCTGTGGCAATGTTGACATAAAAGTGGTAAAAACTGGTGCAACCATGGTGAAGTCCAAACTGTCCTTCACCAGGCGACGCACATCCTGACGAACACATGACAGACACCATTCTGTGTCAACACGCACTTTTATTGAAGTGTTGCCATAAACAGGCAAAACATCCTATTGAAGATTTTATTATTAAACAGCTTCTTGAAAATACAAGTTTACACAGATTGTGATTAGAAAACAATAGTACAACTACCAGTATTTGGTAACTGAAACAGAAATGGACAATTTAAAAAAGAGCTGAATATCTCAACCACCCCCCGACACTCAGAAGAAGTCAGCAATGATAACAGACCAGAGAGACAAATTCATACTTGTGCAATAGGCACACATGCACATTCACACGATCACTGCCAGGTCATATACACCGACGAGTGCACATTCATTCTAGCACATGTAGAAGTTTGCGTAGCTAGAATCTGCTCGTAAAATCCCTTTCAGATTCAAAGTAACTATTAAACAATGATGGAAGGATGGACTTCAGCAAAACAACACCGGTTACGTGGACTAGCTAATGGACTATCCCAAGGTGCAGGTGCCCTTTTACCCCTCCCATATATCTTCTCTTTCTCCAGTTGATACAAAAATAAAACTGTGCTTCCCCAAAAGCCCACCCTGGACACTCCTGTGCCTAAAAAAATCTGGGATCAGATAACAGTCCCGCTTGACACCTTAGGCAGCGACTACACTGTTCCAAACCAACTGAACTTCTTTCCCTTCACGCCATCTCCTCCTTCCCTGGACGAGGCTGAGGCCGAGTCATCATTTGAGAGGCGTTCAAGTGCAGTTATGCGATCGACAGCAACTGCACTGTCCACCTCAAAGCACAAAAACACATCAGTCTTGTACAATATTCAGACAAAAGCAAGTCCTCACAGAAAACTGAACCATTTGTAATTGACCCCAGCTCTGTCCATGGCTGGCTTTCCCAAAAGCATTGCAGCGCTACAGATTATAGAGTCGACACAAATTCAGGTTTAAAATGATGCAAACACCATTTGAATCTTTCCATACACTCCACGGTCTACATGTATTCAGAGTGGCCGAGTATTGATTAGACCAAAGTAATACAGTCAGATTTAAGTTCGTTGTGTTGTCGTTGGATGGTGATTGATAAAACCCTTATATGCTTTTGGGAGACCAGGCCTTACCCGCCACAAACCCGTTAGTCAGCCGGTCAGTCACAGGGTTTGGGTTTTTGGTTCTATCTCTTGCCCCTTTTATTCCCAGCAGGGGGCTTCTTGAGCTGGAGGAGGGGTGCTGCGCCAAAGCCTGTAGCAGCTTGGTTAGAAACGCCAAAGGTCAGGCCGGCCGAGGGGTTGAGGCCAGGGTTACTGAAGTTAAAGCCCGAGCTGCTGCTGCTACCAAAACCTAGAAAAGCAGGAGACAGGGGACGCAGGACAAAGAAAAGAAAACATAAGAAATGTTAGAGAAAACTTAAGCAATCAAGCAAATATAGGATCAAAATAAAGGATGTCCATATGATACACAGATTCAAGTTGTGAACAGATTTTGTCCACGTGGTGTGACACCCCGCATCCCAAAACCTGTTGGCCAAACTGCCAGCAAACTTGTGTAAAAGGCTTACCACACTATCTAAAGGAGCATGCTGTCGGCAATGCCTACTTACAGCAGAGAGGAAACCAGAGAAACGTATTATACTGTATCTGTACATTGCTCTGAGTAGCTTGATACAGGAAGCTCGTCCAACCGCTTCCAATGAAATATGCTCAGAGGAACACGTGCAAACACAAGACTACTCAGGACTGTACTAAGTTTTTGGGGGGTGGGTGTGAAGGGGGTATGAACAATATGTATGTACCTGCACTCAGACTGCCTCCTGTGGGCTTACTGGTGGAGAAGGCAAAAGAAGACCCCCCAGTCCCCACCCCACCAAATCCTGGCCCACCACCAAAACCTGTGGGAGAGAGTGACATGGAAGTCAGTTTGGGCTATGCACACAGTCCACACTAGGAATGAATCTAATTCTAAGGAGCAGTGGCTTGGGAGCACACAAAGGGTGGCGTTAGCAAACATATCTGCGCCGTTCCATGTCAAATCAGAGTTTTCTGTTTACATTTTGTTCAAACCTTTATTTGAAACCAAAAAAAAAACAAAAAAAAAAAACAAATTGCAACTTTGGCCTGTCATACTTTGAATTTTGTTTATGTAAGAGCCCTTGAAATTTGGTTTGACATCCTTCAATTACTGTATTTTTATCCAGAAGTGTGAAAACATCCATATGTACAGTTGTGTGAAAAAGTGTTTGCCCCCTTCCTGATTTCTTATTTTTTTGAATGTTTGTCACACTTAAATGTTTCAGATCAAACAAATTTAAATATTAGACAAAGATAACACAAGTAAACACAAAATGCAGTTTTTAAATGAAGGTTTTTATTATTAAGGGGGAAAAAAAATCCAAACCTACATGGCCCCGTGTGAAAAAGTGATTGCCCCCCCCCCTGTTAAAACATAAATTAACTGGTTTATCACATCTTTGGAAAGCCGAGTTCAATTTCTCTAGCCACACCCAGGCCTGATTACTGCCACACCTGTTCTCAATCAAGAAATCACTTAAATAGGTCCTGCCTGACAAAGTGAGGTAGACCAAAAGATCCTCAAAAGCTAGACATCATGCTGCGATCCAAAGAAATTCAGGAACAAATGAGAAAAAGTAATTGAGATCTATCAGTCTGGAAAAGATTACAAAGCCATTTCTAAAGCTTTGGGACTCCAGCAAACCACAGTGAGAGCCATTATCCACAAATGGCAAAAACATGGAACAGTGGTGAACCTTCCCAGGAGTGGCCGGCCGACCAAAATTACCCCAAGAGCGCAGCGACGACTCATCCAAGAGGTCACAAAAGACCCCAGAACAACATCCAAAGAACTGCAGGCCTCACTTGCCTCAATTAAGGTCAGTGTTCATGACTCCACCATAAGAAAGAGACTGGGCAAAAATGGCCTGCATGGCAGAGTTCCAAGACGAAAACCACTGCTGAGCAAAAAGAACATAAAGGCTCGTCTCAGTTTTGCCAGAAAACATCTTGATGATCCCAAAGATGTTTGGGAAAATACTCTGTGGACTGACGAGACAAAAGTTAAACTTTTTGGAAGGTGTATGTCCCATTACATCTGGCGTAAAAGTAACACGGCATTTCAGAAAAGGAACATCATACCAACAGTAAAATATGGTGGTGATAGTGTGATGGTCTGGGGCTGTTTTGCTGCTTCAGGACCTGGAAGACTTGCTGTGGTAAATGGAACCATGAATTCTGCTGTCTACCAAAAAATCCTGAAGGAGAATGTCCGGCCATCTGTTCGTGACCTCAAGCTGAAGC